ACACGTTATTTTCTTGTTGTTTTATATTATACATGTATAATGATTTATTACTTATGAGTATTCGGTATAAAATTCTATATAATAAATAAATATATTCTGATGCCTTCATAATAATTATAACGCATTACAATTTACAACACATATAAAGAACAAAAACACAAGTTCTCGTCCTAGAGGTGATTACACATTATAATAGCAGTTAAATAATGAATTTTACCCTTCTTCATTAAAGTATCAATACTATCATACTATCTATACTAGAGATATTTTTTGTTTTCATGCGTTTTAAAAGCCAATCTTGTTATATTGGCTCAATTTATGCTCCACCAAATATAGATAATAGAATTATGAATAATATATTAACTATGTTCATGAAATCTACCCTAATTACCCAAGATCTAATATTATTTTGATTGGCGATTTCAATCTTCCCAACATTTAGGGGTGGTCACGTAGTCTTCAAGAGAAAACGATTAGGTATAACTCCTTTATCTCTGACAAACTCAACTGAATCGTATTTATTAATTCCTTTTTATATTTAGGTTTTTCTTAGTTTAATTTTAATTTTAAAGGCAGTCACAAATCTCCCAAAAAAATTATTTAGAAAGCTACGATGAAATCTAAATGTACGTCTGACGTCTCCGCATTGGATTTGAGCGGCCACAACAAACAGTATAAATAATAAAGTATAAAAATATTCTCGTCCCCTGCCTAGCTATTGTTAAAATATATATTAATATAGTTATTGGATATTAATAATTGTAAACAGGGTTGGTCATATCATAGTTACGTGTAACTAAAATGTAACTCAGTTACTTTTGTAACTTGTAACTTGTAACTTGTAACAAGTTACAAATTTTCCTGTAACTTTATATAAAAGTTAGAAGTTACTATTAAAAGTTACATTGTGCTTTTTATGCTTTGAAAGTTCATAAGTGAGTCGGCAAAAAAAAGGTGAGTAAATGAATGTCGTTATGCTGTAAAGTATAGGTTACAAGTGGGTTACTTTATAATGGATCGTATTAAATTTGAATTCTAAAAGGTGGAACCTTGTAAGTTTTCAATCCTTAGCTATAAAATTTGAACATTTTATACATTTTTAACTACAATATCATTTTAAAATTTTCTTAAAAATAGAACCCTAAACATATATTAAAGAGGCAATTGTCAGGAACATTTTATTAAACGTTGACGCTTTTTGGCAAAACAAATAAGAATGTAAAGGTATTTATGAAAAAAAAAAACTGAATTGAAATTGAATTGAAATTTTAAATTATCCGTAAACAGCTCAAAACAAGTTAACATATTTTGAAAATGTTATCAAGTAAGTATAGGATAATAATATGATAATAGTATCTAGGAATTGATAATACAAACAACCAGTTAAAATTTCATGTTGTTTAGAGTTACACCAATAACCATTGGTCGAATACAAATTTTGCATATAATTTCACGTTTTTCTTTAATTTTTCTTTTCCTTTTCCCTGCACTTTCGAAAACTATTAGGAGCTTTTTACTTTTGACCCCCCCCCCCCCCCAAAAGTAGATTCACTTTCCCACACAATCCAATCAATTTTAATAAGTAGTTAACTTTTCTGGAGCTTCATTAAATCAAAAACCTCAAATAACTCATTTCCTCAAACATGTTTTTAGAATAGGTACATTAGTCATGATAGTAATAATACAATGAGTAATGGCCATGAAATAGTAAGATCATTAATTTTAATGATCCTAATCATTATCATAGAAATACTTAACTAATGTAAACTGCATTAATCTATATTTTTCAATGAGATATATATTTTAAATGGGCATGAGATGTTTCGTGGTGCATTCCACGTCGCCACGTCACCACGCAATCAGCCATTCTTAGCCATTAGTTTCACATCAATTAAATATAACTTATAAAATAGATAATAATTGCGAATACAGGAAAAATTTTTTTGTAATTTAATTGGTATTGGCCAAATTAACTTTAATAATAACGTATATTATTTTCTATACACAAATACGTTCAAAAGTATTTAGATTAATCAGTAATAGTAAACTATTTGCATATATATAATATTATAACTCAAATCAAATCACATTATTTTAAGGTATCTTGGAATACATATAATATTTTTTTGGATTATTTTAGATTTATTTTAGTTTACTCACCTAGATCATCACAAAATACTTCTGGTGTTACGAGTAGGTTATCTGTACCGAAACAAATTAAAAAATAAGCACGGGTATTCAGTTCGGTTACTTTTTTGACTTATTACATTATAAACAAAAATATATAGTTATACAAAAACAACTGTTTAATACAATTACTGAGGTAAATATGATGATAACGATACTTACTGAACCATTCCAAGTTACGGTTTTTATAGAAGAAATCATGTGCATTTTCTAGAATGTATAATATTTTATCATTAATTATATTGATAACATCTGTACCCCCTACCTAGCATTCAAAATAATTTTTGGTTGCACAAATTGATAAATGTTATAATATACCTAAAACATTATTTATTATACAGATAAGTCAAGTCACCTACAATTAAATATTTATAGTAAAATTCTTTTATTTTTTAAATGTTTTATGATAATGCTTATTAGGTTGATTAGTTGTTGAGAAGTAGAATTTTCTTGTTGGAAAGCAGCTTGCACTAGTCTGATGTAATGAGAAAGCCAGAAAGGTGCTTCAAAGATTCATTTAGAATGATTATGTCACCCACTTTCGAGAGAAACTGCAGTTCTATAGGGTCTGCAACTGTCCTATTCAAGAAAGTCTTTACTTGGTTTAGGGATGAAAACTATTATTTCTCTCTTGTCGTCGGGAAATAGCAAAGTCATTTAGGATTTTAATTAAAGCCAGAATCATGTTTTTAAGTAGTAGACGTAAAGCCATATTTGATGTTAGGCTCTTTTCTTTGGAAGCTTGAAGAAAAGTATCATGATGAAGCCAGGAGTTATATGCATAATGCATTTAGGAAAATCAGTAGAGTTACACCGTGGGATCACTTTATTGTAGTTAATGACTTCAGGAAGATCCCGGTCCCGGATTTGGGGTGAATAGGAATTCGAGGGAGGGAACCTTGTCGAAAAACTCTAGACTGTTTGGACCGGACAATGGGTTAGTGGCTGTAGGTTTATTCAAAAGGCATTTGTCGACTAGGTAAATTGAAGCTTCGTTATAGTTTAGAGTGTCAAGGAACTTGTCCCATTAATCTTGCTTTTCAGTGAAATGTATTGTTCTGTTTGGATTTATTTTGGCATTTAAGCATCTTTTAATTTCTGGGTCTCTACTTATCTGCCACCCGTAACGAAGACTGTTTTTATTTTTGATTTCATAACGAATAGAGGGGGGAGGGGTAAGCACTTGGCTGAGAAACTGCCTTTCATTGGTTAAAAACTAGTTTGTTCGGCAATGTGGACGGTTGAAATTAATGAGTCGATAGAGTGGTCGATGGATTATCAAACTGCATATTATTGATAAGTCTGGTCAACAAATTTATATTAGTTCTTCATTATCAAACTATCATAACCACATATACAAAAGGAATACGAATTATTATGTGTACATAATGTATGCGAGCAAGTATTAGAATATATTGACATTGTAGGCACAAGTGAAAAAGCTAAGAAGTTTAATTAACATATAGTAAACCATAATAAGTTGGTACATAGGTAATTCATTAAAACAATTTATTTGTGAAAACTCACTGCTTATTGTTTTAATCTTGTACTTTTCTTGCACATATTTTTCAAAGTCTTCAAAACTCTCTGAGATCATCATCCGCACACATAAATTACCGCAAAATGCATGAAATAAAAATTAGTTGGAAATATATTATTATTACGGTAACTCCATAGCATGTGATTCTTCTATATTATATTCTTCATATAAATTGCAGTTGAATCCCGGAAAAAAGCAAAGTAAAAACCCAATGGAAAAGAACCAAAATTATAATAAAATCAGAGCATTAGTACAATAACAGAATATAATATACAATCTATTTGCTGGTTTATCAGTATTATAAAAATTGTATATAAATTAATTATACATTAAAATATTAGGTATGTGGCAATTGGAAACTCAACGGGCTAAACCTTTAACCATAGAGCGTAGCAATGTAATATAACCGACGCACAGTGGAGTATTTGTGAATAAAAGCTGGCTATAAGTAAAAAAAAAAAAACAGCTTAAAACCATGGCAACGCTAGTTTTCTTAAAGTTTATTATGTAAAACGGGACCTTATGAACATTATGAATCATAGTTGTTGATGGCAACTTAAATTAAGCGTTCAAAGTTCAATAGGCATTGCTCATTTTATTTCTTGTTGTTTCGTTTAACGTGTACTATTTAATACTCAGTATGCGATTAAATAAGTATTTAATAGTGGTCTCAAATAATTATTATGTTTAGGGTAGAAGACGAGTTGATATTTAGTTGGTTTAAGGACACATAATTTTTTCATATTGTAATTTAACATGTAATTTATTTTTGTTTATAAAGGAATTAATATTATTTTTGAACAAATCTTTATGTGTCGAGCGATGTCAAGCAAAAATGTTTGTTTCAAAATATAATGTAGACACTAGGTATTAGATATTTGAAGCAAAATGTTCCGCTCATTCACGCCATTTAGATAAGCACCACTTTAATAATGCGGCGCACGTGACATTATATTTATACAATTTGGATATGTCGTTGCAGCTAACGTAATTATTATTATGTATATAGATAAGTAATTGTTGTTTGTTTGCGATAAGTAATACCTGAAAATATAATTATAATAATATAAAAGTAAATAGTAATTGCCAGTCGTGGATATTCCGTTGTGCTAGTATGAGCGGACGCCTTACAGTTTGAATAAACGTAGTTTATGTACAGCGATCGCGAAAATGGCATCAATTGAACCAGGTAGAATATTATTTTTATTTTTAATTTTATTTTTTTAAATGTTAATTGTGGTACTTTTCAGAAGTACCAACAATATTAAAGGCAATGACTAGAAAAACCTTATACGAACTTGTACGCAAATGTTCAGAGAAAAATCTTGACAAAAAATTAACGTACATGGAAAACGAGCTGATTCAAATAACAAAATGCCCGACAGGTGAGCACTTTACACTAAGGCGTAATTTAAAATATTTTAAATCTGAATTTAAAAAAAAATGGTCAGCTGCTAGCAATAAAGAAAAACGGTTTTTAAAAAATAATGAAAAATGGCTAAACACTTCCATAAAATTAGTTACCTGGACAACACCAAAACCGGGTCATCCAGTAAAAGATTTCGGTGAATCGAGTGATCGAAGTAAGAGACGTAAAACTAAGGGCATAAGAGAAACTATTTCTGCTGATGAGTTGACTTTTGCAGCCAGTATGAGTCAGCATGCTGCAGGAAATATTGATGTATCTAAAATGATAAAAAAAATAACACTTACACCGACTAGAGCAACAAAATATCGAAAAGTTTTAGCATCTGTAGACAAATCGAAAGAGAAAGAGCAATTTAAAAAACACACACCATCAGAGGCTTTAAGTATATTTGTAGAAGCTAATTTATCAAAAAAGCAATATGAAGTTATTCATGCTGCTAATAAAAATATTTACCCTTGTTATTCATTAATAAAAAACGCAAAACAAGATTGCTATCCAAAAAAAGAGTCGATGAATATTACGGAAACATGTGCAGAAGTCAATCTACAAGATTTGCTAGATCATACTTCTTTACGATTGTGTAAATATTTGGAAGAAGTTATAGAAAACTTAACAGAAGACGAAAAACATAATTTAGAACTTATATCGAAATGGGGCTGTGATGGATCTCAACAGTCACAGTTCAAACAGTTATTTGAGAGCAACGAACATAGTGATGCGAATATCTTCCAAAGTTCACTTGTCCCTTTGAGATTAATATGCAATATTGATGACAAAAAAAAAGTTGTATGGCAGAACCCAGTTCCTTCATCTACAAGATTTTGTAGACCAATACGCATTCGTTTTTTACATGAAACAGCGGATATTACTAAAGAAGAAATCCAGTTTATTGAAAAACAAGTAAGCAGTCTGAATAAATCTGACATACCAACAGCTAGTGGTGTTTTAGTACATATAAAACATATATTACTACCGACAATGGTTGATGCAAAAGTTTGCAATGCAGCGACAAGTACATCTTCTACTATGAGGTGTTACATATGTGGAAATACCTCGAAAAACTTTAATAATTTAAATATTGAAAAAGAAATAAATAATGATGCTTTGAAATTTGGGTTATCAATTCTCCATGCTAGAATTAGATTATTTGAACATATTATTCATTTAGCGTACAAGCTCCCAATTAAAAAGTGGCAAGCCAGAACAAACGAAGATAGGATGATAGTAAAAGACACCAAACTAAGAATACAACATTTATTTAAAGAACAAATGGGTCTTCTAGTTGACATACCTAAGGCAGGATTTGGTAACACGAATGATGGCAATACATCCAGGCGATTTTTTGCCGATCCAGATACATCTTCACGTATTACTGGAATAGATGTAAACATAATTAAAAGATTTAAAATTATATTAGAAGCAATCTCAAGTGGTCACAGTATAGATGTAGAAAAGTTTGAAGAGTATACTACAGATACGGCTAAACTGTATGTGCAATTATATGGGTGGCACCCTATGTCACCCACATTACACAAAATTTTAATCCATGGGGCTACAGTTATTTCACATGCGATAGTACCTATTGGTCAACTATCTGAGGAAGCTGCCGAAGCAAGGAATAAACACTTCAGATTGTATCGACAAAACTTTTCAAGAAAATGTTCACGAGAGGCTTGTAATAATGATGTTTTGAAGAGACTTTTGTTAAGTTCGGACCCATATTTGAGCAGCATCAGACCAAAACCACAAAAAAAAAGTATGCCTTTTTCAAGTGAAACATTGAAACTTTTCCTCCCGGAGCGATTAGATGATGTATCACCAACAGAAGATATAAGCGAAGAATATAATCAAAAAGATGACGAAATGGATGATGAGAATTGTGACTAACGTGTGATTTATTATAAAAATAAATATTGTTATTTGTAAAAATTGGTTAAAAATTATAAAACTATTATCTAGTATTGTTTTTAAACTCATTTCAACTTCATAAATCCTTAAAAATATTTTTGGCCAGCTTTTTTGTACGAATACTCCACTGTGCGACGACGATTACGGCGAGGACATGAGGTTTACAGCAGCAGCAGCCAGAGGTGAAGAGAAACGTCGAACTGGACGACTTGGCAGCCTCTCACACATTCCATGACGTGCTGTTGGACTTATGCATTGGAACATTCAAAACCTGAACCCCTTGAAGACATCTCACACACTCAAGGGTGTTGGCGGACTTACGCGCAACGGGCCGACACACCTCCATTGTTGGACATGAAATGATCGACCGACCAAGGTCCTCAACGATAACCGCCAATCTACACAATGTCTTTTAAACGAGAATTTGAATGGTACCCGTAGATTCACGAATACCTTATTCTAATATATTAATTGGGTTAAGAGGACGTGATACCCGCATGTGTTGCCTCCGTCTTACAAGTGCGTAACGTACCAAATTCTACGCAAAGCAGAACACGTGTAGCTCCGTTAGTTTAAAAATTAGATTGAATTGACCTATTATAAAATCTAAAACTAAGATTATTATCTAGACAACCAAATGGGATTTTTATTATATTTTAGTTTTAAAGCGAGTTATGAGTACTTTAAAATGTACAAACAATTTACAATTTTAGAATACTCATATTTTTAATTAAACACGTGCTACACGTGTTTTTCTGAGCGTAAAATTGTCTATGTTATGCACTTGTAAGACGAAGATAACACATGCGGATATCACGTCCTCTTAATTGTTAAATCATTTATGGCAGTGGCGGCGTGATAGGGTGTTTCTTGAGGCAATTGCCTCACGACCAATTAGGTGGTGGTACCCCCCCCGGGTACGGATATTAAAAACCACATATGAAATATGGTCAAGGGGACGGAGTGGCCGAGTGGTCTAAGGCGTCGGTCGCGACGCAGCCGGGGCCAGCTCGATTCCTTGGTCGCAGGCGGCAATTTTCTTTGGGCAAGTCACGGAGAATAAGTGCCGCCATCTCCCACCCGGGCATGACAAATACCTACGGGTGCCCCAAATAAAAAATTCTGCCAAAACAAACAGACACGTGTAACAAATCTACAGTACCCTCCCCTACAGCACCATAGGCTAATGACCTAAGTTGTCGAAGCCTTAACCCTAATAAAAAATAAATAAATAAATATGGTCAACTAATGTCTAATACTCTAATACTAATAATTATACTAATTTTATAATAATTTTATTATATTTCTGATATTAACATAACAAAGTATATTATCGTTGTAGAATTGTGAATTGGGGGTGTGGGGGCAAAGCCCCCTCGGGTCTGTGTGATAAAATTTAGGTGGTGGTGGTCCAGCATTTATACTTGCCTCATAAAATAAAATAGTTCACGCCGCCACTGATTTATGGAACTTAAGGGGCCTGGTCGCGACCTGTTTTTTTGCTCAAAAACATGCCTTACAGGAAAAACTCTCACGCCTTGTAGATTGGTCCGATTTCAGTAATTTTTTTTTTTTGTTAAATAGAGAAAGACGTATTGCAGGGCGCATTGGACTTGGATTTTCAAAATTATTTTTCGAAATCTTATATTACAAGTTTGAATTTAATCCATTTTTACAACTTTTTAGTTTTTGTATTATTATTTATTTTTAGCAACGTAATCAAAAATCAATGTCCAATTCGCCCTGTAAAAAATATTCTTCTATCTAACAAAAAAAAAAAATTACGGAAATCGCACCAATCTACGAGGTGTGAGAGTTTTTCCTGTAAACTGTGTTTTGACCGATATAATACACCCTATAAACCCATCCCCCCTAAATAGGTATTGGGTATTAGATTAGTGGAAAAGTCTTATAATTGAGGTGGCAACTAAAATATAAAATTTAATTTTCAATTTTTATAGAATTGCGGAAAATTTGAAAAATCGCGACCAGGCCCCTTAATGCTATATCCTTTATATTGATGCCACAAAGACATTCTACGATGCCATACATTTATGTATTTTAATGTTGTCAAATTTTCCATATGTCTTATATAAGAAAATCGAATTTCCCTAGATGGTTTTTTTTAAAAAAACTTCAGGATATTGTCTTAATGAAAAAGAAGATTGACGTTTATAATTAAACGGTAGACAGCAGTGTGTGAGAATTAATGTCGTGCAATAACGAGGATTACTCCCACTTTCCTTCGGGAGTCCCTAAAATGGGCATCACTACTATTTGCTATCTTCATTTATGGGTTTCCAAAATGTTTGAACTACGAGTATGTTAGTTTCTTATTTTTACTGATGATATTAAGCTCTTCCTTAAAATGAGTTTTATTGATAATGGGCAACAGATCTGGTGTCATACTAAGACTTACTCGTGAATGATTAATCCTTTAGTATTTAAATATTTGATTGATGGGATTAACCTAACTTAATCTATGAATGAGGTGGTGGATTTTGGTTTCATTTTTGATAAAAATTTGTATTTAGTTTGCATATCGAAAATAAGTCATGCAAAAGACTTTTGGGGTTTGTAAAACTTGTCTGTATTTATTTTAAACCATCTGCTTCTATTAAATCTATCTACTGCTGTATTGTTCATTCTGTCCTAGAGTATGGTTAGTTGTCTAGGATTCTATTACTAATACTGACAAGTTTCAACTTTAGAGTGTCCATAGACAATGTTTGAAGTTCTGTGCTTTTGTTTTAGAAATTAAATATCTACCGGCTACCACACAATTATACAACTGTTCTTCGGATTTTTTACATAAAATCATAAGCTGATAGAAGAGTTGATAATAATCTTTTGTTTCTGCCTAAACTTATTAATTCCGATATAGATGTTCCAGTGTCATAAATTAGTATAATAGGCGTGTAGTGGGTGGGAGGGAGAACGCGTTATCCGATAATACACTCATCGTATTAAACTATATTATGATAGTAATAAAATGCATTTAAATGTTTAGTTTTATAAAAGAAAACTTATGATAATTTACATACTTTTAATAAATAGATTATAATCACGTCTTTCATACTTACCAAATTGCATTGCATGACAGTAGTTTTTAAATCTGTACATGTCTATATATTAAATTAAATATAAAAAGTTTATAATTAATCAGCATGTGATTCATTTAATGTACAAATTGGATACTAATAAGTTTATTTGGTCGTTTGGATACAACCATTATAAAATAGTTTTACCTATTATATCCAGATTAAATAAAAATAAAGGTGTTAATATGTTTATCAAACAACATTTTACCATAAAAAAAATAGCCACAACGCAAGATTTTTGTTATCATAAAACTATAGGTACATACCCGTAAACCCATAACCTTGTAATTCCTCTGTTAAAAAATATTTTATTGATAAAATTAAAATTTAATTTTCTTAATTTTAAATCGAGTAGCATGGATATTACTAATTATAATGAAAAATTTAATTTTGAAAAATCCAATAATTGGTGGTAAATAAGAAAAAAAAATCTAACTTAGTAATAATGCGTAGGTTGGTGGATAATTTAGTTAGCTTTAATATAAGATATTTATGACTAATGATATAGACGTACGTCACACCAGCCCCCCCCCCATTTTAAAATATTGAAAATTTATTTTTCTATCTTTTAGTATGCTTTTTGTACGAATTTGTAAGCATTGTTATTTGTTACAAATACGTACGAATAGAAAGCAAAGTATTGGTACAAAAAAATTTCAAATAACCCATGTCGGGGGCTGGTGTGAAGTCTCACCACCCCCCCCCCCCCTCGGGTTTATCTATATCCCCCCGGAACTTTGTTTATACAAATTCTGTAACAATGCTTAAAAATTCGTACAAAAAGCATACTAAAAGATAGAAAAATAAATTTTCAATATTTTGAAAATGGGCGGGGGGGCTGGTGTGACGTACGTATGCTATAGATCCGATGTCATTGACAAGCCAGTACTTAGGATTTTGCTGCCCTGACTACACCGTTTTTAATGCTCTCTTCCCCCTCCCCCCTCCAACTGGTTATTCATAGTGGACATTTTTCTCATCCATATAAAAACTTACAACATATGTCATAATGTGGTAGTATATATCATTTAGTATAAAAATCTATCGAGTGCCCGTGATAACAAAATAATCAAAGCAAATTGTAAAATGTATTAATTTATTTTTTATCTATTAAATAATAAACACATTAAAAATTAATATTTCTTGAAAAAGACATCGATAAAAGCCATATTATAATCGTATACGGCCTTCTTGCATTAAAATCAAAATAAAGATTTATTTAGTTAGTTTTAGTTTTTCAATCCTTAGATTGGTTTTTAACAATTTTTCTTTTCACAACAAATGTCTTCTCCATCTTTCTCTATCACTCGCCATGTCTTTGAGCTCCTTGTAAGTAGTGACTCTCGCGTCTTGCATTATTTGGCTGACATATAAGCCGTCTCACATATCCAACACCTCATTTCTAGCGCTTCTAACATATTTGTAGTCACATACAAAAACCCTTATTCAGCGGATCCCACGGTCGTAGAGTCACTGCAGTGTTTTGTAATTAGGTACAACGAAATGCCATATTACATTAAAAATATATATATAATATTCAAGGGTACTTAACAATACTAATATCAAATATAGGTATTTAGGTGATAAGAAGTCACTTACCACTGCACTCGTCTTAACATATAAAATAACTGAATTAAATACAGCGGCATTTAAATATGATGTGTGAATTAATATTAATATTACGTGCATATATTTAATGTCTATCAATATTATAATATGGTTAATTAATAATTTTTGTACTCCAAAATATTATGGCTATTGCGGATTTGTGTGTTTAAAAATGTTCTAATCAATAATAAAGAAGTATCACAAAGACACAAACTATATGGCTCGGTTACAACTTACAACTGACAATATAATCAAACAATCTTATTCAAA